ATACCTATAAAATTAGTGACTACAAATGGCCTAACATATTTGATGTCAAACTTTGGATCACTAGTGAACGAGCAGCAGTATGTGTCATGCGTTATTGTTTTCTTGCCAACATAGAATAAACTGTAAACGTGCAACCAATAGCGGAGCCGTTAGTAAACAGATTATGGCTATCACGAACGCGTTTGCGCTAATCGCCCTCACCAGGCTGATTTTACCAAGCCCTGTAACAGAATGGTCCATGTAACTACTTGGTCGCACTTCAGGCATCAAGTTGAGATATTAAGCAGCTTACCGTAGCTCAGTCAGTATTTTTCATAACTAAGAAATGCATTTCCTAACATGACAGTCTAATAGAATATAAAGTTTTAAGAAATTCATCGGTTTGCTGGCAGATAACACGTTTTTAATGGCATAAGAGACATTATCTCAAATCGATCTGAACAAAGTTGAGCCATTTTCTCTAAAACAGAACAACTGAAAGCATATCTCGCTTAAAGTCTAATGCACGTACCATAGCTTTTCTCAAATGCGCTTCCCACTTTCTAAGTTACGGAGGACCCTCAAAACAACTGGTTACTACGAAGTTTCTACTCGACTGGAGTGTGTTTCTGGCTGCCACAGCAAAGGTTATCGTCGCAGTGGTGGATGGTAGAGGAACCGGAGGGCGTGGGATCCGTTTCGAACACGCAATCTACAGAAAACTTGGCGTTGTCGAGGTTGAAGATCAGCTTCATGCTATCAAGTGAGTTACGTATTTTAGCAGGTTGTGGAAGCAATCCGACTGCTCATGATTGACTGAAAATATAAGAATGTACTTCGCGAGCTTAAGTGCTTGAAGTCGAATGCAGAAGGGAGGCAAGTTTCGCTAATCCCCACCAAAATAAAGATATTTATTTGGTATGGATAAGGACAATTAAGGCCAATCTCTGGGGGAAGGTTTAAATAAATTAATTTAGGAACGTCTTTGTAGAGTTATATTTTTAATAGATTACTGAGATCAAAACCAGCTTAATTTTCAGGTTATGAAACTGTTTTAACCTGTTAGGTAAGTAAAACAGGAAAACCAATGGCTACACATTGTACGCAGTGTATTGGGGAGAAAGCTAATCTATGCAACAATCTCCGTCTGAAAATATGTTTAGATAGAACGTGGACACTACGTCACTTATTAGTTTTGAGTGAACAGAGCTACTATAAGAGTACTTCAACTATACTTGCGGACGAAGGAGGAGGTAAGGAAATTGTTGTGATCTGTCAGCCCCAAGCAGCAATGAATTTTTTCTCAAAGCTTTTATCCGCTCAGCCGTTATCGGATCCTATACATAATTCTCATTTTGCCTGACTACGAGTGGCTGCGTTCACAGTAAATTTAGCTACGCAAGGTTTACTTTTGCATCCAGGAAGCAAAACACGTTATTAATACCAACGAGAATTAAGCTGTGTATCAATGGTGTGTAGTACGATTATAACAAATTTTGGAAATTTCCTAGTTTCTGTTCACTAAAATCTCATTGGAACACCAGCTGGGCCATTAAATCACTTGCTTGCGAAAGCGACCACACAAATATCTGGATATGTGAATATAAACTTTTTATCAATGTGTGTCTTGAATGTTAATGATGCGGTCTAAACCCATGCTCAACTGAAGTACGTCTCGATGAAGCTACGCATGCTACATTTAAATGTCAGTTTGTCTAAGTGACTGCCAAATGGAGAACTTAAAATAATATAGGTTTCTGTTTCAAAGTTGTGTCACTGCCCATAAGCATGTAGTGATATCTGCGAGTATGAAAGAAGAGTACCTCATCCAGCTCAGATTTATGGACCCTTTGCAACTGCAGTGTTGATACACGGTATTTTCGCATAGATAGAAAAGAAGAGTGAAATATAAGTTAAGGGGTGATTAGCAAATAACAGAGCTATCTCCGTCCGTAGGATTTACATCTCAGAAAGGCAACGCTGAATTTTTACGCGAAATTCGCCATAAGTTTTAGAAGATGCCGGAATTCGTCTTTGATTAGGCACGCTGTAGCAGCCTTTAGAATCCACAAATACTGTAATTCATAACATCGTTTATACGAACTGTTCTCCAGTTGCTCGTTATTGCAATTGTAGAATTGTAGAATTGTATGCTGCAACACATGTAGGTGGAGCCAAATTGGGAAACACGCTAAGCAGTTAATTCACCATGACTATGTTCTAGCCTGGTGGGCGATCGTTAAAGATCAATTCGTACAATTGCTCTTTGGTAAAAAATAACCTTCTAGTGTAGAATTGTTTGTACCATCAAAAGAGGGTGTTTGAATTATGACACATCTAAGAAATTTCCTATGGATTCCAAACAAGTATTGTTGAAGCAGTCATCAGCACATCTTTAATTTCCAAATAACAGCTGTGGTGACTAAAACTGATAAAGCTGTGCAAAATTATTTACCTTTTGCCGATATATTTCTGGTACGTTAGCAATATGCACTAACTATTATCCTGTTGATACCACCGCCTCCAAAATTTTGCTGTTGATATGTATACAATGTACAATGATTCCAACTCTGTAGAACAACTTGTTTAATATGGGTTTTATACAAAGAACCCCAGCAAAATTAGCCTCATTTGTCGTACGGTCTGTTGTATCTTGAATACTGTGAGACACGAAAATACTACGTTATGTGTGTAACAAATCAACAGCAAAAAGCATCTTCCGCAATATAGCTTGAGTAGAATTCATATGACCCTGCGGCGGTAGTAAATTTACATTAACAGAGGCCGCTGAAATATTTGTCTATATTTAGTGCACTTATCTCAAAGCGCTATTCTTGTCATAAATTGGTAGATAGCACGTACATGTAATTTAAAATCAAATGTCATTCAAATGTGAGACGTATTGTTCTGTTCGAATTCATTTATTGGCCAATATCAAATTATCAAATCGCGAGTCAGCTAAAGCCAGAAATACTTTCAAGTTCACAGTGAGCTCACAACAGTATTTTTAAACATAACGTGGCCACTGAATTCTTGGGTTGATTAAAGCTCTACCGCTGTTGGAGGCACAAACAGTAAACTCGATTTCTTATGCAAGACTTCTATTGCTCTACTTCTTAGAATTTCGCGGTTAGGACACAGACTTATAGATATGGATGTTAACTTGTTTGTTTTGCTGGAACTGAAACGTTCATATGCTTCCATGATAAACTGTGAAATCCCCTCCTAGTTCAAGTGATTTGATAACAGAAATTCATCTGCCGTGGAGAAAAGTGGATTTACGCTAATGATACTGTGTACAAATAAACAACCTTTGTTTCATCAATCCAACCATTGTCCTGTTGAAGCGAAATAAGCACTCAGAAAGTCATGTATATGACCGATCTGTTCTGATATGCCCTGGAGCTTCTACGAATACAATCGTGTGATCAGCTTTGTATATAATCACCCAGATAATCATCGTAGCAACCAGGTTTTAGATCCCCATGATACGGATATTGAGGAGCCCACGCTACTATTTACTGTCGATTAGGTAGCATGCTAGAAAGAGGCAACATTAAATAATTGTGTTAGTTTTTTCAACTCGCACCCTCCAATACTTACAATACATTTTATTTTTCAGGGCAATGGTCAAAACTTTTCGGTTTATTAATGAGACCCAAATCGGTGCTTACGGTTGGGTGAGTACCCATCATCGCTATATGCGTAAATGATTCGAAACAATTTTGTTCAACGAACCGTTATAGTGCGCTTTCTTATTTCAGCCACACTGCTCCACGTGAGCGTCTGAACTTTTCAGAACTGTCTGTCAGCGTTTGTCTGGGATTCCAAGCATCCCGTTAAATGATGCACAAACCAATCTTTTGCATCACATCTTGACAGTCCTGAGTGGTTTACGTGAAATATCGGATACGGGCTGGAAAAACTAGCGGTATAAGTGGTTTCTTTTACTTTTACAGTGTAGAAGGACAAAATGGCGTCATGGTGAAAGGGTCACATGATAGCATGTTTGAGTCGGTGATAGATCAGTTCACCGTTTTGACAGCGCGTCTCCCGAACCCCGCCACTCCGCCTAGACCACGTGAATGGAATCTCCTTTCCTTTCACCAAACGAGGGAGATCCAACGATTATCCGATCACTTTTTCGTTGCTTAGTTACCAAACACGTGATTGGAACTAACCCAAGTATTTGCACAGGAGGCTAGGAGTGTCAGAAATCACAACATGCCGAAATTTCACATGCACGTTAATGCTTACATTTGTGGCAAATGTACATTCGTAGCAAACGCCGGAAACGAGTTCGACTTACTTTTCATTCGGGAAGTATATATAAGTAGCTTGCTGACATATTCGTCCAATGGCGCTGGTTAGTTCTTGCAAAACAAAATTGCTTCCATCTGCTGCTAAGCATAACCATGAACTTTGAGGAAAAGACAGTAGACGGAAAACCGACCAACTTGTCAGTCTTAATCGTTTATTATAAAAACAGGGCATATATTCCATAAGTCCTGCTGCTCCAGTGGGCTTATTGATGCGAGGTCAATGTCATTTGTTGACTAAATATTTCCGTGTTGGACAAGAGGGACTATCCAAACTGCATTTAATTACCTTTTAACATGGTACGCTGTCGTTTCTACCTCCATGTGTAGGAATTCTATACCATACCAGTTCGCCAAATGTAAAAGCCTGAACTGGTTTCCCTGCACGACTAAATGTCTGACCTTAATGGGCTCAGTGATTAAAGTGCTCAGTAGTTAAAGCAACTGACAAGCAGGCACCACCGTCATGCAGTTATACGCGCTGTCGTCCATAACCTCGGAGCAGCTGTTTCTTATTTTCAACAAATGTGTGCAATTATTCACTGCATAGTTCGATAGAAGCAGACTGCTAGTACTGATAAAGAACTTATAAAGTACAAAATAAGACCAATACCGGAGAGTATAAAAACCGGGTAACTAACAAATGACGGTGTCTATTCGTTGCTGATGATTCATTTAGTGATTTCATGACTTACTACAAACAACTATTGAGAATAATTGTTGCTCGGAGAGCCTAAGCGGAGAATTGCATGTGTTTCTCTTCCCAAAAGCGGTGGTAAGAAATCAATGCCCAAGATAATCAAATTTCAAATGGATTGTCTGAGAGCTAGTAACAACCCGGTGGTTGCCTATGACCATCAAATAAGAGTGAACGCTTGCTTTCTGTAAACGTCAATTAAGGCTAGACTTTTACGCAAGATGCCACGATACCGCAAGAATCCTGGATGATGGACACGCTGACAGCTGTACATTCGAGGACCGATTATCTCTAATCACAACTTACGGTGTTCGTTAACACTACCAATGAATACATTGTATGGCAGAAAAAGTGGTTAACAACTGCTGAAAAACGATATCAAGTTCCGGAGATCTTAATACGAAAACTTCCTGCTCAAGTTCCTACTGTCAGTTTACCTTCAGATGTGTTGATGTGTTGCCGTATCGTTAGGTGATAGAAAGTCGGCTGTTGATTTATCCTAATTCCACATAAGTACTCATTACCTCTCAGTTCAGTTCTCACTAGACAACGCCTAATACATTTTAGTTTTTAGGGCTTTAGAACGTCCGTTGATTGCCTTCATTTTCATGAACTATATTTACTATGCACCTGTGCCCTGATTTTGCTATGATAGATATGAGTAACAGACAAAAAACAAGTTAAGCATGTAAAAAATAATTAATTTCTTTTGACGGTCCCGAGCTCAATACCCTCTTGCTTTCGTTCCATGAATCCCTCTTAATCAAGCACGAACTTCGTTCCCCTGGTTTCTGTTCACTTTTCTGTAGTCATACGGAGGATTCACGGTTGGCCACCTATTGGCGCACCCTGAGAACAATCTGGTTCGTTGTGGTATAGCTGTGGCTCCAGTCACTGACTTTAGGTTCTACGGTGAGTCTTTAATTAAAAGTTACGTGAGGATACTATAGAACAAACCCTTATCTGGTCCCACTAGACCCGGGTGACTTGTTAACCTTCTAAGTTTATTTTCGCCTTTATTCATTGCTAACCACAATATTTTGAATATCCAACGGATTTGGTCTACAACAGTTAGACTACAGCATTATTCTGGTTGCTTCCGAGACTTCTGACAACGATATAGCGTTTACTAGTCTGATCAATAATCTGTGTTAAATGCTGAATACTGGATACTGAATACTGGTTCGAAGCAGCTAGTAGAGCTTTCTCAGTGTAGCAGCATCATTCGTCGCTCTTGGACATATACGCCTCATTTATCGTTCCGCTCTCTATATTTTGCCTCTGCAAAATGTTTGACCAGGAGCTTCATAAATTCCGACACTGAGTTCGCCTCTACTGCAAGTTGCAGCAGGTCGTTCCAGACATTCACCACTCTGCGTTCGAAACAGAGTTGGTGAGCGACCCTCTTCAACTTCGTTACGATAAGTTTATACCGGTGTCCTCGCGTGCAGCTTGGTGTGCGCAGATGGAGCAGTTGTCTCAACATGGGGTAATCACTCAGATGTAATATCCGGTGTGTCATGATGAGATCAACCCTCAGTCGACGACAAGCTAGGGTGTACAGCCCTAGTTTCTTACATCGGTCTTCATATGGCATACCTCGTAAGTTGGGAATCAGCCTGGTGGCTATACGCTGCACCCGCTCAAGCTTTTCTACCTCGCTCAGGGTGATGGGACAATATGCGGGAGAGCCGTACTCAAATTTTTGCCTCGCCCGCAGGCGAGGTTGCAAAAACGAGTCAAGATTCATTGTGTTGTGCCTCCCCACAGAAATCTTTAGTAAAAGGCGAAAGATTCATCCGCAAATGGGGAGACATGCAAATACAGTCTAGCTAACAAGCTCATTTACCGTGCTTCATCATCAGGTCAGATGCAGTACATTGACATAGTTAGGATAATAAACGTTGGATAAGTAGCTTTAACATTGCGGTGTCAGAATGTCCGCTGTGGGTGTGATTTGTTCACGTTGAAGCTGCTTGGACGACAGCGATCAAAGTAATCCAAAGCCATGGGGATCCATTTATACACACACGAATTCACACGAATGAAAGAAATGATGACCGCCTTCGCTAATGCAACAATTCGGCATCTGAGAGGTATGCAATGGACACCCCTTTTGGTAAATGAACACTCGGCTTTTTCCTTACAAATTTACATGTTCTGCGTCGGTGTGCGTGTGTGGCAATGCAATAATCTAATGTGGGTTGTACTATGGGTTTGAATGATGCAAACCGCCTTTGGGATAACGCAAATGACCTAGTGTTGTAACTTGTGAGTTCCTTCGCTTGCTCTACTTGATGTAAGATGTGTTCGGAGAAATATAAGCTGTATTAATATGGAATTCCCTGGTCTCGGACGAAACAAGCATTTAAGATGGGAGTACCAGCACTGTCGATGACTCCATCCAAAATACCGCATCTGTAGCAGGGTATCTGAGATTTATCGACCCACAACCTCACAGACTTGCTTTCGCTTCATTGGTTTAGCGAGGAAAGCTCGTGTATGTTTTTATGCATAGTTCCAGGTGGTCAGGCAGCAATGAGTACAATGGGATTATGGTGCATTGCGGGTAAAATACTGTGCTTAACCACCTCCGTGGGATGGAAATCGTGGAGAAGAACAATATACATGATAAAAGAAAAAGATTTTGGTTAACTCACAATGGACAAATGTAGTTGAGCTGAGAGGTTGGCCTGATTTAAATTCATAAACTGAACGGTTTGGATTTTGCAAACATCGGTTGGTTGCGTTTCGTAGCTCCTTGGCTAACACGTCATAAAATGCCATGCAAATGGGACAACGGATCGTTAATTGATTGTTTAAATATCGTTAGAATGGAGACAGAGGGGACAAAATTTTGAAAAGCGTTCCACGGCTGTCACACTCACAGGGTGAAGAGATTTCTACGGCATTCAAGCCGGCTATACTTCATTATCAGTTTTAGAGGAGGACCCCTTAGGTTAGAGTTGTGGTACAGTTTCAGCAGCGGGCGACATATGTGCTTTGGGTTCTTCAGAAACCAGTAAATCATTATGAGGTCCCCTAGAAAATGTGGATATCCACTGCCGTACATTCCTATGGGCTTCAATATTAACTGCTAGGGTAGATGGAAAAGAACCCTTAAGGTTCTTTGCTGCCTCTGCTGAAGAGTCTCGCAGAAAAAGAAATCCCGTTTCTACCACGGCTGCCACACTTGGATGGCGTATACCACGTACAGTCGCACACAGGCGCTAAACATTTGTGGGAAGACTGAGTGCTCAAATCGACCGAACGCTTTGCGAAGAAAAGCAAGGTGCATTTTGCTGGTTCTGGACACATTCTATACTTGTTTCTAGCATCCGAAAACCTCCGGCAGCAGTATATCCAAATCACACTCCTAAGGAGCTTTCTACAACGTGTGGTCTTCAAGCTTACAGGTGGATCATCTTGCGCTTAGCTGTGTTAAACTGCAGTAGATTCTTCGCTGAGCATTCATGAACGCAATCCAGGTCATGTTGGAGGGAATCGTGAGCTCCCTTGTTACAAATTGCTCGCTATATCTTAAAGTCGTTGACAAGAATCAAGCAATTGAAGTTAAATCCTACAAATTGTTGATAAACCCTCAGGAATAAACACGGTATCAGTAATGAACCCTGTATACTACCACATTCCACCTCAGTCGGCTTCGAGAACAATCTCCTAACACGCACTTGAAGCCTCCGTTAATGAAGGCAGTTACCAATCCAACCAAGAACAGGATCGCTGATTCCATTGCACTGTAGCCTGTGAAGTAGAATGTAGTGATCCAGACGATCGAAAAATGGGAAAAGTCCAGATAGATGACCTCGACCCCGACCCCACCTACAGCTACTTTCTTCCAATGACCTCGTGCAATCTGATATGGTTTATATAATAGAAATGAGCTCCGGTGTCAAATTTAATCACACATGTCCCTTAGGTAAATAAGGAAAAGCAAGGGACTGAATGCATTGCCATGAACGCTACCACTGGTGTAATTTCTGGCAGTGGAACAGTGTTGACCAATTTGTATTATTTGTAACCGATCGTTCGGGTACTAGTTGAGCCAGACAATTGAGGATTGCTGACTCTACAGGACTGAAGAGCGGACGAAAATGGTTTGTGCTGTATGTAGTCAGACACTTTTACGTATGCAAAATTATAATGCCGATGGTCATGCCACCATCAGTTATTGCCAAAACATGAGCAAGAAATGGTAGGTGGCGTGTGACACAGAAATGTTTAGTAGGGAACCGTTTTGAGGACTGCTGAGTGGAGTTTGTCTTGTCGGAAGTTGAGATACCCGATTCTTGACGATTTTTCCTAAGCCATAGCGGATGCGGAATCCTTCTTTACGGGCCGATAGTTTGACGCGCAAAATCGTGGAGGGCTTTTGTGTTTCGGCATCATTTTGGAATGTTCCCCTCTGAGGCGGGAAGCAGCTAGCGTTTAGTGACAGTGTAAAAGGGTTCAATATGAGGTGGGATATGTCTTCGCCACTTAACCTTAGAGGTGCATGGGGAACACCATCAGAACCGGGTTGGAATGTCGATATGATGGATGTAATAGTAACTTGTATGTCCCTTAAACTCAGACGCGTGGTACAGGCTATCTCCCGTTTTGCTTGGAAGCAGAGGAGAGGATGCAGTTGCTGCAGTATTGAATGAGGCAACAAAGTACTGATTCAATGATTTACATATTTGGACTATATCATCCGTTGCGGTACCGTCATTCAAAAGCAGACCTGGAATATCATGGCGTCGTTCTGGATTTCTGTTACTGTGTAACAGCATTAGTCTGTAAACTTCTCTGAATTCCTGATGTCTTAGGTTTCCTCGGAAATTCTAGACTGTTGAATACGGTGTTTACTCTTTAGTAACGTTTCGTGCAGTTGAATTGCTTTGGCAATGTCTTTGTTGTTCCAGTGTAGTGATCTCAACTTCCTTTGCTTAACATTAGCCTTGGAAGAGGATTTGTAACAACCTTTGAAGGGTACTGTGTTTACATTCAACCTAAGTGCTGGAATCTCCGTAAAACTGTTGATAGGATACGAGAATTCGCCTGCGGCTAAAGCCGATTCCGCTGAAGTGAAGCTACAATTCCAACACATGCTCCTAAGCAGCTTGTCAAATTTGTTTTATTCAACGAGGTGTAGTTGGGGTACTAGCTTTCTTTATGTTCTTGACTTGGCACATAGCCCGATATGCCTGCTGCAGAGCACCGTATTGTGTCACAACCTATTAGTGGGTCATCACTATATACATACACAGATGGAATATCCATGGTGTAAACCGTATCTAGGATGTCATCTAACCTGCTAGTTTGCCCAACGTGTTAAGTCTAACCAGTGACATAGACACCCGGTAACCATAATTTCATCTAGACAAACAAAACTTTAGCTGGGTCTCTTATGCTGTTCTCCGTCGTTCGCTATAAGACCGGAGCCATGTGGTTACCAAATGGGAGTCTGTTATATCTGAACAGACTGCGATGGGCAATGATCATCGTTATTGTGTTGACCTCTTCGTGTAGTCAGAGCTGCTATTAGGTGTGCAAGAGGTCTAAGGTTAAGAATTATCTGCTAGTACCAAACTTTAGAGTAGACCTCCTCACTTTTGGTATCGGGTACTGTTCGGCCGGAATACGGCAATTGGCGGTAATTTTATATCTTCACAATAATAATCCGTCCAGCAGGCTTGAGTATTGGAAACATTGGTGCAGCCCAACCTGAATACTGTACTGACTCTATGACGCCTCTCTTATTCATATGATAGTACTTCATCCATCTTCCATCGCATCGTATACGGCAGCAACCGAGTCTTGATGAATGGTGGTTTGGTGCCAGGTGGAATACAGATATTCACTTATCCACCAGTGAAGTTCCGATGTCTAAACTACTGGTGCATATTGCTGGA